ACATACAGTAGAAAAAGAAACAGATTTACAAAAGGTAGCTGCACAGCTCAACAGGTGGCCCCGTCCAGGAAAGACACCGTCTGCAGACTACTTCAAAGCTAGTTCTCATGTCACATGATGGAAGAGAGCACACAGTTAGTCACAGTAAAAGAAACAGGACTACATTGAAAAACAGGCCAAACTCCAACATCTATAAACAGAAATGTTGATGGCAGCAAACACTTAACATTTCATTCCAGGATGGAGTCACAGTGGTATTTATTGTTCCAAATTTTTTGCCTGTTTTATCATCTTGCATAAAGCAAAGCAATACCTTGTAACTGATTGCATTGATATAGCAAGTGAAAAAACTGCTAAAAGTTGTATTATATGGTTCAGCCTTTTTAACAATGCAAGAGCAGAATTTAAAATAAATTTCGGGTTATATAAGCATATATAAGATCTGTTTTCAATTTAACAAATGCCAGAATTTGATGTTAAGCATCAATTAGTTAAAATGTGCATATTAGGTCAAATGTTGCATTTCATGTAAATGCAACTTTTGACCAAACTTTGAAAATACATTAATTAAAAATATTAACCAACTATCTACAATTTACATTAACTAAAAACATTAACACATCATTTACAAAACCATAAGTAAAGAGTAGTGACAAAATTTTGCTTTTATTTTTGTTAAAGTAGCAAAAGGTATATCTGAATTCTCAGTTCATACCTATACATTTAAAACACATTCTGATAAATATAAAACATGAAGCATTTGTCTACATATTTTGTCCTTTTTTGGAAGAGGAGCAATAAGTTCCTTTTTTGCTTATAAGGTTGAAAAATATTAAGGAACTGCAAACTTGTTGCCTATATTCATCAGTTGAGCAAAGCCTTTTCTAATGTAATGCTGCCGCGAGCAGCCTTACTGATAAAAAAAAAAAAAAAGGAACTGGTCAGAAACAGTATGCTATCTATACTGCAGCTGTAATATATTGCCCACACAGACCATGAAAAAAACAAGCAGGGTGAACATAGCATTATGGGTAAAACTTTACAAATTCTTCGGAATGGGAGAATTGAGATAAAAGGAATCATAATGAGGAAAAGTGTCCACTATGTCCTCCAGCAGCCTAAACATATAGCAGCATGAGAAAAGTCATTCTATACTAAATTCTTAACTGCAGTATCGGGTGTTCACTCTAGCTACCGCCTGCTACTTCTCCATTCATGCAGCAACTAAGCAAATATTTGTTTTTAACTATAAGCTTAATCAAAAATGTATGTCTTTACCCTAAACTTAAAGGTAAACAGGGTGTTTGCCTCAGAGACGAGAACTGGTAGTTAATTCCACAGGAGAGGAGCCTGATAACTAAAAGATCTGCCTCCCATTCTACTTTAAGAAATTCTAGAAACTACTAGTAAACCTGCAGATTTAAAGCAAAGTGCTCTGTTAGCTACATAAGGTACAAGTAGATCTCTGATACAAGACAGAGTTTGGTTATTTAGGACTTTATGTGTGAGAAGGAGGAACATTCATTTTCTAATTATCTATAAATTAAATTTGGGTATAAAATTTCAGAGTAATTATTATTTAAGATATCTCCTCACAACTTTAATCTGTTAAAACAATGGAACATTGTGCATTGTTAAAAGAAAAAAAGAAAATAAACATCAAAGTTCATTATTCATTTTCCAATTTCTTGCCTGATTTATTATCATGTATAAAGCAAAGCAGTACCTTGTAAGTGCATTGCATTACTATAGCAGTTGAAAATAAAACTG